TAAGTAAGAGTTACATACCGAGAACGGAGGCAATCAGCCTAATACATCCCGAGGGCCGTAGGCCCGAGGGATGTATAGGCTGATTGCCGACGTTCGAGGTATGTAACTGGCTTATTTCATACTTGAAGAAGTTTTCCAAGCACTGCATTAATATTTTCATTTTTAAATAGGCAAAGAAGCCGTTTTCATATGAATTAAAAACCAAACCCTCGATTAGAAAGATTACGAAATTTACAGTATTGAAAATTCCCAACGGGAATAATTTGCATAACCAATTTTCTCGTTAGTCCCATGAGACCAATGCTAACAATACACCTTTTGTAACAAGTAACTGGACAATGTTAAATAACTGTTTTATTCCATAACTGACATCGATTAGTCAGTTAGCACAACGTGTTAAGTATAGCATTTTCAAAGTTAAGGTTTGTGGGTTCGAATCTACTTGGTGTCATTTGATTTTTTCTTTCTTTCTTTCAAGTTTAAAGTTTCAGACGGAAAATTTCTAAGTTGAGCGTAGTAGTTAATTAGGTATTCAAGGGCAATATACATTAGTATTAAAGGGCAATATATAGATACATCCCTCAAATGGGGGCAATATCTAGATATATCCCTGAAACTTCGATATAAAGCACTTGAATACGCAACGAGCTGAGGAATAAGCGAGATACAACACTATGAATAACAAAGAAAACTGAATCAAGTATGAAATAACATTTAATACGCTATTAATCTAAAGTTTAGATTTACGATTCTTCCTGGGAGTTTTAAAAACTTTTTTATGCAAATTATTTTGTAGTAGTCGGCATTACGACTTTGCAAGTAAACAAAGTTAATTGGATTGATTGTAGAGTGCAACAAATACCACTATTTACTACAAAATAGTGTTAATTAAACAACAGAAAACAATTAGCATAATTTAGCATAATTTAGACATTTGTGGTGACCAGGTGTCTAGCTAAAGCGTAAAACCATGCATTTGCATTTTATTATTTCCTATAACTTTTTAAAATATGATATTTCCGTTTCTAAGAACTTGAATTGTTAATTCAGCGAATTCGTGTTGTAATTTTTACAGATTTCCCGTACACAAATAGATTACTTGTAGTTCATTATGCATGCAAAGGACATAGAATTCATTTCAAGCGAAGAAACAATTAGACTGAAAAGACACAAACAATAGAACGATTTCACATAAGCGCTTTTTAACATGAATTTGAGTTTTTCTGAGTTATATGTTGAATCACCGTGCTCATTCTCCAAAATTCTATTTAATTCGTTTTCAACTTCTTCCACATCTCTTTCTAAATTTGTCATGTTTGCATTTTGCCGTTGTAGTTTACGAGGATTCATCTTTGATTGGATTTCTCTATCCACAGATTCAATCTGCTTCTTCAAACCTTGCCACTCAGCTGTGGAAAGAATGACGCTCTTGTTTGCTTCGGAACCTTGGCTTATTTTTTCAGAATTTCAACAGTTGCGGGTTCATTCTTGTTGTTGAGGACTGTGACTTTTAAGACTCTCATGGTTGTAATGACTAAACCGACTGTTTTTCGTCAATTATATAGAGAAGTTAAACTATTTTTATCCATGATGTTAGCAATAAACTATTATTTCAACACGCGCGCGTCAGTTCTATTTTTAGAAATTATTCATTTTTTTTTTCGCTACCTTTTTTTTTAATCAAACTTTGGGGATCTTTAAAAAAACTTTGGAAAAACAACGATAACATCATCGGATTTTTTTAGCATAAACTTGCATTTTGTATGAGTATAAGTACAAGCTCGACAAGAAGTTTACAACAAACAACTCATGTCAGGACAAGAAAAGGACAACAGCAATATATGCTATTGTCATGTATTGAAACGATTCCTCTTATGATGAATGCATTGGAGTGATTGCTGTCGAATTTGATTCCATATTCCACTGCAGCGTTGATGGGCTTGAAGGTAAACTTATTATCGTAGATTCTTGCCTTGAATCAACTTTCGTTGATGTTTGTATGCGAGATGGTAGCGTTGATGAGCTTGAAGGCAAACTTTTTATTGTTGATTCTTGCGTTGAATAAACTATCGTTGATGTTTGTATGCGAGTTGGGCGTGCTGCACAGTCAGAGAGAATTTTCAATCTATTAACATTCTGTGAGTAGAGGCTCTTACACTCTAATGGGTTTTGTCGAAGATCCAGCATCTTAAGCCTTGGTTCTTTTTAAAGACTGTTTATGTCATTCTTTTAA